TCCTCTGAAAACAGACACCCACCCCCAGGCAGTCAGCCAGGCAGTCAGCACAGAAAGCTTCTCCGCACTTTTTCCTCACCTTTTTCTCCCATGGAGGCACTTCCCAGCCAGTCCTGAGGAAACCGAGCTCATCTCAACGTGGATGCACCCCTGCACTGTCCTGAAGCCAAATCCTTGAAGGTTCCTGAGGAGGCCAGGCTCCTGTCAGCTGTGCACAGGGCCAGCCCTGTGTGCAGAGGCAGGTGTTGTGCACTGGTAAGAGGGGCGGGCTTGTCACCCCGTGCTGGCAAAGTGGGAAATGCAGGCTGCACCCACTCCCAGTTCAGAGGAGACCGAGTTCCCTGCTGGCCGCCCTGCTGAATCCACTAATGTTTGGAAATTCAAACATGTGGCAGCAAATATGCCATGACTTCTTGAAAAATAGGTATAGAACAATCAGAAACCATATGCAATGAAATGAATGTAGACACAGACTTTGCAACTTACACCAAATGTCATTCCAAAGTGTCCACAGACAAATTTAAAATATAAAACTATAAAAACTATAAAAGAAAACATAGAAGAAAATCTACATGACCATGGGTTTGGTCACATAGATCATGAGGTTTGACTTTTAACACACAACACAAAAAGCCAATGCATAAAAGGAAAAAAGTTAATAACATGTTCTTTGTAAATTAATTTTTTTTATTGCAGTATAGTTGATTTACAATGTTGTGTTAGGGCTTCCCTGGTGGCGCAGTGGTTGAGAGCCCGCCTGCCGATGCAGGGGACATGGGTTCGTGCCCCGGTCCGGGAAGATCCCACGTGCCACGGAGCGGCTGCGCCCGTGAGCCATGGCTGCTGAGCCTGCGCGTCTGGAGCCTGTTGCTCCGCAACGGGAGGGGCCACAACAGTGAGAGGCCCACGTACCACAAAAAAAAAAAAAACATACAATGTTGTGTTAATTTCTGCTGTACAGCAAAGTGACTCAGTTATTATACACATATATACATTCTTTTCCATTATGGTTTATCCCAGTAACGTGTTCTTTATAAAATTAAAAATTTCTACTCGGTGAAATGCCTTTTCCAGAAAACTGAAAAACAAGCAACAAACTGGGAGAAACGTATTTGCAAAACACATATCTGATAAAGAATTTGTTCTCAAATTATACAAAGAACTATAAAACAAACAACTGCATTAAAAATGGGTAAAGATCTGAATAGATGTCTGGCCAAAGAAGATAAACAGATAATAAGTGGAAAAAACATGATCAACATCATATACCATTAGGGAATCACAAAGTAAAACAAGACAGCGATACGGACCTATGAGAACTACTAACCTCCTCCCACAGTGACGACCCTGATCACTGGAGGGTAGGGAACAACAGCTCTCCTTCATCGCCGATGGAACGCGTAGACGGCCTTGAGATACAGTTTGGCAGGATTTTCCAAAGCCAAACAGGTCTCACACCTTGAGATCCATCAATCACACCTTCAATATTTACACAACTGCTTTGTAAAACTCTATCCAAACACAAACAAGGATGCTATTGTGCACGGAAGCTCTACTCATAATGCCTAAACCTAAATGGAATCAGGATGTCTTCAGTAGATGAATGCATAAGCAAACTGGGGTACATCCATGTGAAGGGGAGCAAAATGTGAAACGCCAAAATATGGAATTTCTAGAGACCCCAAAGAGCTAAAACAATTTTTCAAAAGAAATTCAAAGTTGGAGGGTCACAGTGCCCAATTTCAAATGTTAGTACACAGCAGCGGTAAATAAAATACTCCCCTTTCCTGAAGTGTGGGTGCCACACAGTGGCTTCATCCTAAAGAAGACACACAGTACAGACTTAGGGAAAAAGTAACTTCACAGTGGGGAAAATCTGACAAACACTACCTGAGCCAGAAGGGCAAAGCTAACGTGAACAGTGATAAGTTGCCCTGATGTATGTTCCCACGATATAAAGTCACAAGAAAGCACTTTACCCCTGTGATCTGCTTCCTCAAAACCCATGACCCCATTTTAATCACAAGAAAAACACCAAGTAAATCCCAATGTGGGACAATCTACGAAATACCTGACTAGTCCACCTCAACACTGCTGAGGTCATAGAGTGAAGGACAGTGTGAGAAAATGTCAAAGTCAAAAACATACTAAAGTGACATTATGACTCAATGCCATGGGATACCCTGGATGGGATCCTAGGACACAAAATGGGAGAACGAAGGGAACCCAAATAAAATATGGATTTTAGTTAACAATAAGGTACCCATATTTGTTCGTAATTGTGACAATTCTGTTGAAAACTAGAGGAGGAGGAAAAATTAAAACTCAAATAAGAGAAACCTATTGCATCAAACTGGAAATCCACAGGAAATTGGTGATTTCCTAGCAAAAACACACAATAACAAAATGCATGCTAAAATAGGGAAAATACAAACAGACCAACTCGCCTCCCGGGGACTTCCTTCCCCTGCTGGCTGTCCTCTCATTATTCTGGATTCTCAGTCCTGAACAGGAAAGGAAAAGGAACAGAGATGTTCAGCAGCCCCTGTAAGGTCTGACCCCCACCCAGTGTCTGCCTCTCCCCCAGCCATGCCCAGCTGAATAAGGACATACTGCCAGAGGGATTCCCAGGGATCACTGATTCTGTGTCACCTAGGAGTTTTGTTTGTTTGTTTGTTTCTGGAGTATAGTTGCTTTACAACGTTGTGTTAGTTTCTGCTGTACAGAAAAGTGAATCAGCCTTACGTACACATACATCCCCTCCCTCCTGGACGTCCTTCCTATCCAGGTCACCACAGAACACCAAGTAGAGTTCTCTGTGCTACAGAGTCGGTTCTCACTAGTTATCTATTTTATACATAAACCTAGAACATCATAGTTTTAATTCACAGAAACGTCAAAGGCTATTTAGGGAGGCCTATGTGTCTAGGAGTCAAGGGTGGCCTCTGGCTAGCAGCTAGCAGGAAGCCAGGGCCTCAGTCCTACTGCTGCAAGGAAATGAATTCTGTCAACAACCTGAGTGAGAGTGGAACTGGATCCTTCCCCAGTCGAGACTCCAGATGCGAACACAGCTCTAGCCAATACCTCGAATGCAACCTTGCAGAGGACCCACCAAGCTATGCCCAGGCTCCTTACCCGCAGACGCTGAGATCATAAATCATAAAACTTAGTTTTAAGTTACTAAGTTTGTGGTATTTGTTATGAAGAGATATAAATCTAATACAGACTGTATTTATTTGCTAGGGCTGCCATAATAAAGTACCACAGATTGGGTGGTTTAGGCAACAGAAATTTACTTTCTGACAGTTCCAAAGGCCAGAAGTCCAAGATCAAGGTGTTGGCAGTGTTTGTTTCTCCTCAGGCCTTTCTCCTTGGGTCCTAGATGGCCACCTTCTCACCACGTGTGCACATGGTCTTCCCTCCGTGCCTGTGTGTCCCAATCTCTTTTCTAAGGACACCACTCACATCGGATTAGAGCCCACCCAAATGACCTCATTTTGACTTAATTATATCTTTAAAAGCACTGTCTCCAAATAAAATCACATTATGACCTACTGAGGGTTAGGCCTTCAATATATGAATTTTGGGGAGCACCCAATTGAGCCCATAACAAGAACCACTGGAAGGGAGATGTTTTTGTTTTTCTGAGATGTTAGCAAAGTGTGGAGATTCAAAGCTCAGGCTCAGAGTCAGACTGATAGCTCTGAATCTTGGCTCTGTGGCTGTTTAGCTGTGTTACTTTGGATATGCTGCTTTACATTCTGACATCATTTCTTTGTCTGCAATAAAAAATAATAAAACTACCTACTTCAAAGGGTTGTTGTGTTAACCAAATAAAATAATCCATTTAAAAGGCTTGATCTAGTGCCCAGCAGGTGATAAACTAGATAAACCTCAGCTGTCATTGAATGGTTATTACCAACATTCATGGTTACCGTGTACTGGTGAGAAGGTGGTAGAAGCTTAGACTGTCATCGTCAGAGCTTCGGAAAACTGACGCGTTATAGGCTTATCACATTTAAGGCTCGGAGACACACCTTGGAGTCTGCCTTGGGCCTAGTCTCCTTAAAGGAGAGCCTTAGAAGGGAGGTCGGGCGCATAAGCCTTAACAAGGGAAGGCTCTGGGGAGGAGGATGTGAAGAAAGCAGGAGAAAGCAGCAGGGATGTGGTCTTAGCTTAAGACTACCTTCAACTTCATTCCAGAGGAGCTCGGAGCACGAATAGCACGAGTCAACTCTCTTGGAGGCAAAGGAGCTGGGCCTTTATACTGCAACCCCAGTCAGTCATGCGCTCCAGGTGTTTGGGGAGTGGTAACTTCCAGGGCGCAGCAGTTCCCATCAGCCAAGGACAATTAACTATTCAGAGAAGGGGGTGGCTGTGAGCTGTTGGCCCCCAGCACACCCAGAAGCCGGAGATGGAGGCACCAGGCAGTAAAAGGGTCTGGGTGCGGCCCCACGAAAGTCCCGGGGTCCAATCCCGCACAGGGACACCCAGACCCAGGAAGACTGCTTGCCTTCTGGAGGTCACTTAGCGAGGTAACGGCAGCCCAACTCGAAGCCGTGGTCGGAGGCAGCGTCCTCTGCACAGACCTGCCCAAGACACACGAGGGCTCTCAGGGCGATGACACCTGACTCAGCAGGCTGCTGAGGAGCAAACGCGGCAAAATGCGTGACAGCTCCTGGCAGGAGGCACGGCACACAGCATAAACCCGAGACAGCCGGAGGGGCTCAGACCTTAACACGGGGCTGGCGGTGCCTTGCCGGCAGACGCCCCAGAAGTACACGAGAGGGCCGTGAGCTCAGGGCCGCCCCGCCCCGGAAGCGCCCGGACCCTGGCGCGTATTTCCGGCGCGACGGCAGACGCGGGGGCGCCGGGCACCTGTCCTGACCTCCCGTTCGCGCTTGCTCGGAGGCGGCTCCCTGGAGGCGGAAGCCGGTGCTTTTGGGCGAGACGTGACTTGGAGTCCGGGAACCCGGATCCCGGCTCGGCGGGTGGGCACGATGCGGCTGGGCTCCGGGACCTTCGCCGCCTGCTGCGTAGTGATCGAGGTGCTCGGGGTCGCGCTCTTCCTCCGAGGATTCTTCCCGGCTCCCGTTTGTTCCTTTTCTGGGACGGAGCACCAAACAGAGTCCCCAGCGCCCGAACCCTCGGCTGGTATGGACCGCTCCCCGGGCGTCTCTGCTCCCCGGGCCCCACTCTTCCCGGAGGACCCTCCTTATGAGCCTCGCCTCTTGGACTTTTTCCCGCGGCTCCCGGGTGGTCTCTTCCATTCTGGTCCCCACCCCCTAGGGTCCCCTTCTTACCGTTCCAGCCTCCTTTTATGTATCCTACAAGTTTGTGGCAAGCACCACTACTAAGATCCTCCTCCCTGGTCACCGCAAAGTAAGATCTCCATACCCGTAAAGAGTAAGCGTCTCCCCAGCTCTACTCATCCAGTGACACCCCAACCCCCTTCCCTGAGCAGATGTTTGGGTCACTCCCTGTTCCAGGCACCCTTTTTGCTCAGGAAGACACAACAGATAAGATTGCTGCCGACCTCTCGTGTTTTCTTCTATGGCATTCCTCCAAGACCCCGTTTTTTCCAGTAGTTAAGACCTCCCTGCCTAGGCCCCTCCCTAGCCGTCACCTACCCAACAGTATATGTTAGGTAAAGGAACTCACGTTTTGGATCAAATCCACACAATACCAGCTACTAACCATGGAAAGACAGTTTGTAAATGCTCGCCCATCCCCTACCTGCAACACTGTGTTTTAGGGCAATCTCCCTAATGTCCCATTCCAGTATACTCACGAAGGGACTCCTCTGTGCCAGTACTCCCCATCATGCTAAGGGTAATTCACTACACAATATTAGGGCTCCCTGAGCTTACTTGTTGCCCACCCCCTGATCCCAGCGTTGTTTCCCAAGAACAGGCCTTTCTCTCTGGCTCAGGATATGTAGGTGTGACAGAGTATGTGCTGGAGAAGTAAGCAGAAACTAGATTACAAGGTGCTTGAATGCTAAATAAAGGTTAAATTCAATTTTCTTTTTCTTTTTCAAACACTCTTAGGAGCCATTTCCAACTGGACCAAGCTCCCACCACCTCTCTTCGGTAAAGTTGTTATTATGCTGATAGACGCCTTGAGAGATGACTTTGTGTTTGGGTCAAAGGGTGTGAAATTTATGCCCTACACAACTTATCTTGTGGAAAAAGGATCATCTCACAGTTTTGTGGCTGAAGCAAAGCCACCTACAGTTACTATGCCTCGAATCAAGGTAAACAGTTTGACTGAACGTATTATAGATCATGGTTTGGCTCTTTCAGAGGTTTAGAGGGGCTCTCTGTAGTCTGTTACTTGGAGTCCCAATTTTAACTAAGTGGAAATTAGTTTGGTGCTGTCAACCTGGCTGGGGCAATAGAATGCTGAAAAAGCTTCCCAGATAGGATGGAACTAAGACCCATGATTTATGCCGTCTGTAAAGGTAGCCAAAAGCTCATGCTTCACGGGAAGTGTAACAGATTTAGAGCCAGATCATCTAGGCCAATCTAATCCAAGAGATACCATGCTCCTTGCTAACCTGCTATCTTCTTTAATCATCAGTGGGTCAGTTAGAATTCTGGGGGGAGCCTCTAGGGTTATCTAGTTCAATCACTTGACTTTATGGATGAGGAAGCAAATTCAGATAAGTTAAATAACTTGTACAAAATTTTAGTAAACACAGTGACCAAACCAACATGATCTGGCCTCACAGATACCTGTTTTTACTGTATAAACCGCCTTCAGGTGTTCAGCCTAGTGAGAGTGCCTTTGAAGTACATATGCTTTACTGCTTTACTTAAGAACTGTGGGGAAAGAAAAGAGTAAAGCTTTATTGATTTGCTCAAAAACAAGTTTTTTTGAAAATAACATCTCTGCCTTCATGGAACTTTCAGTCTCTAATGAGAGACATAGCCATTAAACAAATGAACATACAAGTAAATGTGCAGTTACAAAGTGTGATTAATGCATAATGAAAAAGAACAGAGCGTGATGTTCAGTGCTGGTTGGGGGCTCAGTTTAGATTGGGGTGGTTCAGAAAAGCCTGTCTGAGGAAATTGCATTCAAGCTTAGACCCGAAGGTTGAGTAAAGAAGTGGGATCAGAAAAGGACAGAGGACCTTAAAAGTTTGTGAATATACTGCAGGCCGGTATGGTGTAGAAGTCTCTGGCTGAACCTTACATCTGTGGATGATCGTGTGACACATTATTAGTTGGTGAGAAGGTGTCACTTCTTGATTTAAAGCTTGGGGGCAGCATTAGTAGTTACTCAACAAATGTTTACTGGATGAGTAAAGCAGTCTGGGATTGAAGGGGTTCAGGCCGCATCTTTTACTGATTTTTTTTTCTTGAGTTTTCCATTCTCTCTGCCTCTTTTGGATGTGGTTTGGCCTTCATTCAATATTTATTGAGGATCTATATGTACTGTGTGCTGTTCTAGATAAGAGGGATTCAGTGAAAAAACAAGATAGCAACTGTCCTGTCCTCATGAAGCTCACTTTCTAATTGAGGGGACAGAAGATATGTAAGTATACAAATAAATAATCAAAATTGTTTCAGGAGGTGATAAATGCTACGGAAGAAATTGAGGAGAATGTGTTAGAGAGTGATGGGGAGTGGGGGAGGCCACCTGTAGTCAGGATGCTTGGGAACAGCCTTTTGGGGTGCAGTCGTTCTGTTGAAACAAGTCCTGTGGAAGCTGGAAGCAAGGCATCCAGGCTCCTGACCACCAGGATCACTGCTTTCTTTATCTGTCCTGTCAGAAGTGTGGCAGGAACCCATTCCTCCGTTGTTTGATAAGAAAAGAGTTGTTAGGAATCTGGGCAGATTTGTAAGAAAAAATGTAAGTGAGCGTGGTGGCTCCAGGTTCTGTTCAGTCTTGCACATTGGCCGGTGTGGTCCTCCCTTTGGTTTCATTTTACCAAACCAGTGTTTTGTTTTGGGTCCTTTGCAGGTTCTTGCTCCTCATTCTCTATCAGGGAGGAGCTAGTATACAGGAAGTCCATCCTGGAGTTAGGGTTACCTTGCTCTGGAATTTGATAGGATCAGGTAGTGTTGGCTAAGGAGTGTGTCCCCTGCCCTGCCTCCACCTAGGAAGGGACTTAGTTCATCTGGAGGTGCTGATACAATTGCCACGAGACACCAGTTTTAAAATTTCAAGACTAATGTCTCTAGTAGCATGTTCACATGTTAAGATGCTGCAGTAGCTTCCTTCTAAAACGTTGTAACTGATTTTTTAATGCCTTTCCTTTTCCTGGGAATTTATAGTTGTAATAGCAGCAGTTACCACTGGCTGTGGTGCACCCGTGGTGCAGGCACTGTCTTGTACACTCTTACCACAGCCCCGTGGAAGCTCCATGATGTTGGTGCCACTCTCTTCTCCATTTCCCGGGTGAGGAAACAGGCTTGAAGTGCGAAATCTCACAGCTGGCATCAGAAACCGAGCATAACCTTATGTTTGCCTAGTTCCAGAGCCTCGGTTGGTCACACTGTGTTATACAGCAACACTGTGTTATACAGAATAAGGTGACCAGATCAAATTCTCTTTCAGTAGTCTCTGCAGAGCCCTCCTTAATTCTCAGAAGTCAGGAAACTACGGTTCCCAAGACCACAGCAACCCCAGGAAAACCCCCAAGGAGATGACAGACAAGCACTCAAAATTCCTGGGCTCTCAGCTGCAACTTTTTTGCTGCCTACATGTTTCCTGGGGTGAAGGGGATACCAGGTAGTCCCTGCCCTTCTTAAAAATGTCCATGTGAACCCAAACTAGTTTGAAGAGGAGGGAAGTGCCTTATAAAAGCCCAGAGGAAAGGGTGGATAGATTCAACCCAAAGTGGTGGAAGACATTATAAACAAAGTCAACTGACAGACAATAAATGGAAAAATTATTTACAGTTAACACAAAACAAGATGTGAACCCCATGATATGTAAAGAGGATCTGATCAAGGGCAACAATCCAGTAGCAACTGGACAAAAGATATAAAGAAATCCACATAGAAAGAAATTGAAATATGCTAGTAAGCATAGGAAAAGATTCTTAACTGTACTAGTAATCAGATTAAAAGCAACTAAAGAGTCTTATCACATTGTAAAAATTGAAAGTTTGATGATAACACTCCTCACAAGAAACGAGGTGAACAGATCTCTGTATACTGTTTATGTGACTAACTGGACTCAGCCAGCACCTCCACTGCCCCCACTGTAGGCCAGTCTGCTATGGTGTGAGCCTGGACTGTAAAACTATCCCAGCACTTCTCACCCAGAACCTGTCCAAACAGATCATGTTGCTCTGCTCTAGTCCCAACAGTCCTCCAGTGGCTTACACTCTGCCTCCTAACCCAGGCCTCAGGGTGCGTGGTCTTCCCCCATTTACCTCTTCACCCTCATCTGAGCCGATTTCCCTCTTCCTGTGTGTTTTATCCACGCAGATCGCACCTAGCTCCGTTCCCCATGTGTACTGCCCCCTTTCACCTTTGGGTTTTTGCAGTTTGCTGTGTTTTGCCCTGGAAAGCCTCACCTCACCTCACCTAGACAACACTCCATCTTCACACCTCAGCTCAAATGGCACTTCCACTGGAGGCTTTTTAAAAGCAATTGCCATTACATTTTTCACAGAAATAGAACAAAAAATTGCACAATTTGTATGGAATCACAAAAGACTCCAAATAGCCACAGCAATCTTGAGAAAGAAAAACAGAGCTGGAGGAATCAGGCTCCCAGACTACTATACTACAAAGCTACAGTAATCAAGACAGTATGGTACTGGCACAAAAACAGAAATGTAGATTAATGGAACAGGATAGAAAGCCCAGAGGTAAACCCACGCACATGAGGTCACCTTATCTTTGATAAAGGAGGCAAGAGTATACAAAGGAGAAAAGAAAGCCTCTTCAATAAGTGGTGCTGGGAAAAATGGACAGCTACATGTAAAAGAATGAAGTTAGAACATTTTCTGACACCATACACAAAAATAAACTCAAAATGGATTAAAGACCTAAATGTAAGGCCAGACACTATAAAACTCTTAGAGGAAAACGTAGGCAGAACACTCTATGACATAACTCACAGCAAGATCCTTTTTGACCCACCTCCTAGAGAAATGGAAATAAAAACAAAAATAAACAAATGAGACCTAATGAAACTTAAAAGCTTTTGCACTGCGAAGGAAACCATAAACAAGACCAAAAGACAACCCTCAGAATGGGAGAAAATATTTACAAACAAAGCAACTGACAAAGGATTAATCTCCAAAATTTACAAGCAGCTCATGCAGCTCAATATGAAAAAAACAAACAACCCAATCCAAAAAATGGGCAGAAGACCTAAATAGACATTTCTCCACAGAAGGCATACAGATGGCCAACAAACACATGAAAAGATGCCCAACATCACTAACCATTAGAGAAATGCAAGTCAAAACTACAATAAGGTATCACCTCACACCGGTCAGAATGGCCATCATCAAAAAATCTACAAACAGTAAATGCTGGAGAGGGTGTGGAGAAAAGGGACCCCTCCTGCACTGTTGGTGGGAATGTACACTGATACAGCCACTATGGAGAACAGTATGGAGGTTCCTTAAAAAACTAAAAGTAGAACTACCATGTGACCCAGCAATCTCACTACTGGGCATATACCCTCAGAAAACCATAATTCAAAAAGAGTCATGTACCACAATGTTCATTGCAGCACTATTTACAATAGCCCGGACATGGAAGCAACCTAAGTGTCCATCGACAGAGGAATGGATAAAGATGTGGCACATATATACAATGGAATATTACTCAGCCATAAAAAGAAACGAAATTGAGCTATTTGTAATGAGGTGGATGGACCTAGAGTCTGTCATACAGAGTGAAGTAAGTCAGAAAGAGAAAAACAAATACTATATGGTAGCACATCTAAAAAATCTAAAAACTAAAAAAAAAAAAAAAAAAAGTTCTGATGAACCTGGACAGAAATAAAAACACAAACATAGAGAATGGAATTGAGGACACGGGGAGGGGGAAGGGTGAGCTGGGATGAAGTGGACAGTAGCATCGACATATACACTACGAAATGTAAAACATAGCTAGTGGGAAGCAGCTGCATAGCACAGGGAGATCAGCTCAGTGCTTTGCAACCATCTACAGGGGTGGGATTAAAGAGGGTGGGAGGGAGACGCAAGAGGGAGGGGATATGGGGATACACGTATGCATAGAGCTGATTCACTTTGTTATACAGCAGAAACTAACACAACATTGTAAAGCAATTATACTCCAATAAAGATGTAAAAAAAAAAAGAGGAAGAGTGACAAAAAGAAAAACAGACATACAGAGAAATAAAAGGGACACATGCGAGACTGTGTCCTTTGAGTGACTGAGAGAGCCGCTAGCCTTAGTTCCTGTTAGCTTTCCAAAAGTTAAATCTCTCCTCTCTGCTCGTGGGTACTCAGTATCCATAAAATAAATTCTCTTTTCTGCTTTCAAAAATAAAAATAAAAAAAGCAATTGTCATTAAATTCGTCTTGGATATATACATTGTATATCCAAACACTGGAGTACTTTGTAGCTGTTTTTAAAAAAGAAGGTGAAATACCTGTATGTTTTCTGTGGAAAGGGGTTCATGATATGTTATTAAGTGAAAAAAGCAAGTTGCAGAACTATCTATATAGTTTGTTACAATTAGGGTAAAAAAAAAAAATACATTATATATTTCTGATTGTACATATACGGATGAAAGGATACTCACCCAAAGTAACTGGTTACCTTTAGGAAGCAGAATTTTGGGGTGAAAGGCTCACATTTAAAAAAATAACTTCATTGAGGTAGAATTTTCATACAATACAGTATAGTACAGTTTGATGAGATTGACCGAGTATATATGTGCATGCGACTCCCACCTCGGCTCTGGGCCCTGATCCCCACCCGGCAGTGCTGGTGGCTGTCGCTGTTTTGCTGACTTGCCGAGGCTACTTCTAGAGAAGTCCGAAGTCCTGAAATGTACACTCACTGATGTCTCTGCTTGTTGTGTTTTTTTTAATTCCTGGGGTTTTTTTAGGCCACTCTTCCTGAGGGGCAGCCAGGTCGGGATGGCTGAGTGGTGAGCCAATGACTGGTCACAGGTTGTGCTTAAACACATTGTGGTGCGGCCTCCACTCTCTACAGGGGGTCTTTGTGTGTGGCTCACCGTCAGCTACTCTTCAGGCAGTTTATGAGTCTTCCCTGACTATCACTTTGTTTGAGCAGGGCCTGTGTTCAGCTGAAAGGACCAGGCAGCTAGGCCCTCTCTGTTCTCCCCTGAGTGTACACTCACCCTGTGTGTGCACACAGCCTTCCAGATTCCAGGACCATGTGGAAGCTCACAGAAGCCTACCGCAGCTGTCCCATTCCCCAGACCCCCTTTGCAGACTTTGCTGTGTCTTACTACAACCAGCATTGAAGCCTCAGGTAGCTGTGACGTTGGCCTTCCCTGTTTTCGCCTTGTCCCTGGCATGGGGCTTCTCCGTGGAGTGCCGGATTGGGCAGGCCCCCTCCGGGTCCTCGTGGCTGCCGCGTCACAGAACTGGGTGTGCGGGAGGGGAGCAGCCCAGGTTAAAACACCACAGGTACTCTCAGTTCTTACCGAAATGCGGACGTGTTTTGGATAAGAACATTTCGATTTGTGTATACCTTCGTTGAGTTTTCAAAGTCTTGAAGGGGTTGCTTTTGACAGTTTTATCCAGTTTTATCGTTGCTCTTCAGGGAGAGGGTTTCCCAGGCTCCTCATTCTCAAAGTCCAAGATTAACTCATTTTTGCGTTACTTTGCTGTTAAAGAAGTCTTGGCAAAATTATTACACTTGTTAGCATTGTCCAGATTCCTCTTTATTTTCATTGCACAGGTCCCTGGATGCCAGTGTTGTAGGTTGTCAGCAAACTCCAGATCATGGAGACCCACGACCCATTTAGATTCTGCTAAAATGAGGGAGGTGGTTGACTTAATTCTATAGCAGAAAGGTATGAGGACATGTCACACCCACCTGCTCCTCCAAGAAATTACGGTGCTGAGTGGGGCGGGGAGGTGGCCCCACCAGCATCCCTGGGCGAGTTTACTGTGAGGATTCCTCAGAGTTCCTGTTTAGGGACTGCTTTCCTCCCTGGGTGTGTGGGAGGCTGCTCTTTCTCTCACGGGGCGGGGTGGGACAGGTAGCATGGCTGGGCTTCAGGATTAGTGTGCGGAGTTTGCTTGTCACATGAAGCAGATCTGAAGCTTAGATTAGGGCCTGATGGTGGGTTTGGGTATACAGACAGCATACCACCCTTCGCCGTTTGTTTCATTTCTTATCATCCGTCACTGCTTTTCTGACCACAGCCGTCTAGCTACCCCACGGCTTCCTCCTTTGTCCTCTCATCGGCTGAAATATGGTCAGTTCTTCACTTGCTGAGTTTGCTGGTTTTGCCAAGAATCTGTGTAGCTTTTCGCCCTTTGTCCTAATACTGGCCCAGCCTTCAGCACGGGCGTTGCTTTAGCTCTGCGCTTGCCTCTTCCGTTCGTTGGGATCACCTCCGGTGCCTTTTCCCACGCTGTGCTTGGATTCTGTGGTCTGACCCCTGAATGCTTCCTTCTGCAGGCGCTGATGACAGGGAGCCTCCCCGGCTTCATCGATGTCGTCAGGAACCTCAATGCCCCCGCGCTGCTGGAGGACAACGTGCTCGCACGAGCGAAGGCAGCGGGGAGAAGAATCGTCTTTTACGGAGATGAAACGTGGGGGAAGTTATTCCCGAAGCATTTCGTGGAATATGATGGAACAACCTCTTTTTTTGTATCAGATTATACGGAGGTCAGTTTTTAAGAAAAATATATCCTATGAGACAGAGCCTGGTACCCTCTAACTTAGTGAGAGGCAGCGCTGTTTTGTATGTGGCCTTTATCAATGTACTGAGAATAGTATGGAGAGATTGAAAAAGTTGTTCCTCCCATAATCAGCTACAAGCCAGGACCATAAACCCTAATGCAGGTGTGAGCATAGTTCTCTGAGCCCAAAGCCCAGACCGGGTGAGCACCCGCTGACGGGTACCGGGGGTCGGGAAAGGCTTCCCAGGAGGAGCCGCTCAGCCGGAGTTTTGACAGGTGAGTGGGGCCTTCGCAAGTGGACAGAATGGGGTGGCAGAGTCTGCGAGGCAGAGTCTGAGGTCCCCACGGTCTGCCTGGGATCCTGCCTTGCTGCTGTTCTGCGAGGGCGGCAGCATGAGGGCAGACGTGAGCTGGGCGAGCCTACCTGGTGCGGAGAGCGTTGGCCCTGTGCTGCGTGTGCAGCCTCCGACAAGGAGATTAGACCCCCCCACCCCGCCCCGTGTTGGCCCTGGGGCAGAGGGAGGCCCTCAGGGCAAAGGCACCGTCTGAGCTGGATTGGACGGACCCGCCGTTTGCTTGGCCCCGGGGAGCGCCTGCCGTCCTGTTACACCGACACCCTTTGCCAAAGCTGACCGTATAGACACAGCAGTCACTGACCACCCTGTGTGTGACAGCTCAGAAGCACTTGTCTTTGTAGTAGATTCTCCAGGGGGAGGGAGGGGTCAGGGCTGACCCGGCTAGTGGCTCTGTCAGGGGCTGTGTGGCTGGGAACTGCTGAGTGTGTGCCTCTTTCTTCCCCAAACAGCCTTCTCGTAGGACACAGGCAGACGTCCCCAGCTTCACCCCGCTGGTTTCTTGAACTCTGGGCACTGTCCTGTCTTAGCTAACTGCCCTTAGCCCTCACTTGCCTCATAACAACCTGGCACCCATTTAACTTGGTTATCTGGTCAGCTTTAGTTTAAGCTCCAGTAGTGATCCTGAAGAATTGTTTTGTGAGAACAGCCTTTGTTTGTTTAAGTTATAATATGTTCTATCCATAACTTAGAGACATAAAAACAATATTAGTGAAAGCTTAATCTAATGCAAACATTTTTTAAGACAGTTTTTATTTGGGGGGCTGCTTTGTTTGGTGTTTTGGTTTTGGTTTTGGTTTTGGTCTTTTCAAACTCCCATGAGTCCTAGTACCTAAAATAAGCCCGTAGATTTTAAAATGACCATATCACTTTTCCTTGAAGAGTGAACACCAGGGGAATTAGGGAGGCTATTCATATGTACTCTTTTTCCCTTTAAAGGTGGATGATAATGTTACAAGACATTTGGATAAAGTATTAAAAAGGCGGGATTGGGATGTGTTAATCCTCCATTACCTTGGGCTGGACCACATCGGCCACATTTCTGGGCCCAAGAGCCCGCTGATCGGGCGCAAGCTCAGTGAGATGGACAGCGTCCTGATGAAGATCCACACCTCGCTGCTCTCAGAGGTGGGCCTAGAATGTCAAGGTGCTAATGTTTCCTAGAAGAAATGTAGCTTCTAAAGTGAACTGGGGTGACCTTGTGTGAGCTTCATACCTACCATCACTCAAGCAGCCTTCACCTACAGAGCACGTGCCGTGTGCCGGCACCGTACCCAGCAACGCTGCAGAATCACGGCTCTTAACATCTCTACCTGTTCATCCAGCTCATGTTTCCTGGAGGCCTTCTCTGTCACTGTTCCTGTCTGGGCATTTGTGGAGCTTAATCTCTAGCCAGGAGGGAAGAACACGAAGCATAATCAATGAGTACATAAGTATTCTAGACAGTGATCGGTGCCATAGCAGAACGTAGGGCAGGAGGAGGGCACAACATCTGAGAGAAAGGCTGTAATTTTAAACTGCATGGCCAGAGCAGTCGTCCTTAAGGACGTGGGAGACGTGAGCCGAGACTTGAAGGGCAGGGGTGCCGCCGCACCATCTGGGAAGGTGTATTCCAGGTGCAGAAGCAGCAAGGGCAAGTCAGAGCCTGTCAGGTACATGCAGGGGCAGCAGAAGCCACTGACCAGAGCCCCAGAGGCCAGGGGCAGCTCTGTTTGACAGATAAGGAGACTAGGGCATGAAGAGCAATGTGCCCGGGCGCCCACAGCTTGGAAACGGCAAAGACAGAAACCAAACCCTGATTCTCTGCCCTGAGGGGCCTAACAGCCCTCCTGTGCTCCGTGACCCCCGTGTGATTCCGTTTGTTTTATTTATGACATTACTCGACGTTGACCCTTCGATCGGACTATAAGCTCATAGGTTAAAAAGAAAAGAAAAATTTAGGAAGAGCTACTATTTACAGGGTAAAGCTGAAATCTGAGAACACATGATCTCCCCAGGCTGGGTTCAGCTGAAATGTATTTCCTTTACCCTATAGGAGAGAGAGACTCTGTTGCCCAATCTGCTGGTTCTTTGTGGTGATCATGGCATGTCTGAAGCTGGAGGTCACGGAGCCTCTTCTGTGCAGGAAGTAAACACCGCTCTGATCTTAATCAGCTCTGCATTTGAAAGGAAACCTGGTGAGAATTTGGGAATGTTTAACACTTTAAAACTGTACTTTATTTCTTTGCTTTCTGTAGTTTGATTTTAATGTTAAAAACCATTTAACCATTTTTGGAAGCTGTGTAAGTTTGAGAAAAAACCCTGAACAATGTGAGAATGAAAAATAATGGGACAAGGGCCAGTCAGGATTTGGAGTTTACGTTTCTTGCCGATTCTTAAAATACAAATGTTCTTTTTGGGAATTGTGTGCTATGAATGTCACTGCCTCGATATCTGGAACTGTTAGTAAAAAGTGCCAGTGGCTTAGAGACATCTGAAGTGCATGTATGAATTGAGAGAAACATAAAAATTTAAAGTTAAGAAACAGTATCCGTTATCTGAGACTATATGTTGAACAGCAACGTCAGCGAGAACCACAGGAGCAGGACTGAGTAGGACTGAGGGCCCACGTTCAGTGCTCAGACACAGCGCAGCTCTCCAACCCAGACACGCCGGTGCCGTCGACCAGCATAGACCTGTGCACGGCCTCTGCCCCCTCATGTCGTCACACGCAGGCAGCCAGCTCACCAGCTGTTTCCACACTGGACGCTCTGGCTTCTCTCCGGTGACCCTTCAGCACCGCTTGGCAGTGCTGACCCCTGGTCCTGGGACCTCCACTTTTCTGGTCTCCCTCTACCTCTCCCTCTGCTGTCCAGTCTTCTTTGCTGGCTTAGCCTCCTTGCCCTGGCCTTTTTTCTGGACTGCCTTTGTTTCATTCTGCGTTCACTCCTGAGATGATCTCATCCACTCCCATGGTTTTAAATGCCATGAATAGGCTCACACGTGTCAGATTTATCCCTCCAGCTGTCTCCCCTTTTCCAACCTCCAGACTGTCTACTCCACTGCCTGCTGATGCCTCCGCCTGGATCTTCCACAGGCAGAGCAAACGTGACTTCACCTGCAATCTGCCTTCCTTGTTTCCCCATCAACAGACGGCGCCATTCACGCGGCTCTTCAAGTTGGAAACCTGGGCGTCCACCTCGATCTGCCCTCTCCCTGCTCCTCGCATGAGCCCGACCGCCCGGCTCCCAGCGCCCACACGTGCCACCTTTCAGTAGCTGAACCTCGGATACAGTAAAACTCCTGCGTGAGACTTCTCGCCTCCCTCACGGCTTTGTCTTGAGCCACATCCTTCACTACTCGCTGAATCCTGACCTCTCCCGCAGGTCCTCCAAGTGATAACTCTTCCTCACGCGCCCGATCCCGTGCTCCTCAGCCCCTCAGCCTGCTCATACGCTCGTCCTTGGTCTCAGCCAAAAATCCAAACCACCTTCCTTCCGGTCGTCTCACAGCGCTCGTGTATTCTGCCATCATCCTTCGCGTGGTTTGTAATCACAGCCTGAATCGTGTGGTTGCGTCCATCTCTCTCCTTGCTGTGCGCTACACTTGGGCAGAGCAGAGTCTGTTTTATTCATCACTGTATGCCTTGGGCCTCAACATGGCCTGGCATTTGGTGGATGCTGGAAATATTTATGGAGTGGATGCATCTTCCACTTGAGTAGGGATTGGTTGGGGAAGAATCTCCACCCGTTTCCTTTTGTCTTTTTACAGCACTGCCTCCTCTTGGATGTCTGACCTCCTAAGGTGTAAGCTCTTGGCTCTTGTAACCTGAGCCTTTCCTGGGTGCCCAGCTGGAGCCTGCCTTCCAGCGAGTGCACGCAGTGCCCATCAGAGCACTGACCTCCAAACACCCAGCTTTCCCGCTCTGCACGCCCAAAGCAGGGTCCCTTGGGGCTCCTCTACCTCAGTGAGAGCCCCAGGCCAGAAACACATCCATCTGTCCACCCATGCAGCAGAGGGGTACTGAGCGCCCACAGTAGGCTAGGCGCTGTGCAGGCACTACAGACAGGGAGCTTATAGTCTGGGGGGAGAAGAGACAACTAAGCTGGCCTGCTTTTATTACAGGAATGTCAGGGTTATTTTTAACTAAAGTGCTGACGTTTCATTGCTCAGATGGGTATTTAAGGATCCCCTCCCTGGGAGGCCTGACACATCTTCAGATAGGAAGGGCCAGGTCGTCTGTGCATAGGAACTGCCTGCATGGGCTGCTCACATGGCTGACCTCAGTGCCAACAGTGAGTCTGAGCTCTTTCTTATTTTGTTTACTTGTTTGTTTGCTTTAAGAATAGTTCTATTGTCTTGTCATCACGCTTATTTTTTGAGCCTTTTAGTTCATTCAGAGTTGGTTAGCCATCGTCATTGTCAATTTTGGGACATATCACCTCTTAGTGGTCACCCCCACTTCCCCCAACCCAGTAACAAACCCACCCCCAGGCACCGGCAATCACTGTTCTACCTGTCTCTACAGATTTCCCTCTTCTGGACATTCCATATAATAAATGTAGTATATAAATGGTCTTTTAATAAATGGACCATGTAATAAATGGTCTGTGTGACCAACTTCTTTCACTAGGGTAATGTTTTCAAGGTTCATCCACATTGTAGCAGGTGTCAGGACCTCATTCCTTTCTATTGCTGAATAATACTCCATTGTACAGATGTACCACGTTTGTTCATCCATCCATCCATCAGTTGATGGATATTTGGGTTGTTGCTACTTTTTGGCTGTTATGAATGATGCCGTAGATAACATTTATGAACAAGTTTCTGTGTATTTTCTTATGGTGTCATTTTCTTTCTCTAGTACAGCTTTGCTTCTCTTCACCTGTGCTGTTGTTGTCAGATACATTCCATTTCTATGTGTTGTAGGCTGACAACATATATATATGTATACACACACACACACACACACACGTATGGTTTTATATATACATATATGTGGTTCTATATAATTGCTTTGAAATTTAAGAGAAAAAATGTGTTTATGCTGTCTTTTATAACTATATTACAATTTCTGATACTCTTTGCTTTTTTTTTTTTTTAAACTGGATCCAGATTACCATCTGGAGTCACTAGCTTTCAGCCTGAAGAGCTTCCTGCAGGATTTCTCATAAGGCAGGTTTGCTAGTGATGAATTGTCGTTTTTGCTTTTTTAGTCTGTGGATGTCTTCATTTCACCTTGATTTTTTGAAAGGTCGTTTTGCTGGATGTAGGATTCTTGGTTGACTGGTCTTTCTCTTTCAGCTCTTTGCATATGCTGTCCTACTGCCTTCTGGCCTCTGTGGTTTCTGATGAGAAATCAACCATTAATCTAATTAGGTTCCCTTCTTTCCCTCCTTGTCTTTCAATATTTTTATTATGTCCGTTAGTTTGTGTTTGTCCAACTTGGAGTTCATTGAGTTTCTCGGATGTGTCAATTTGATGTTTCCCATCAAATTTGGGAGATCTTTTGTCTGTTTCTCAGGTTGTGTAATTTTTATCAGAGTCTGTCTTTACATTTGCTGACTCTTCTGCCAGTTGAAAATCTCCCCTTGAGCCTTTACAGTGAATATTTCATTTTAGTTATTATATTTCTCAACTTAAGAGTTTCCATCTGGTTCTTTTTTATAATTCCTGTCCCTTTGTTGATAACTGTTGAATGGCACACTGTCATCATACCTTCCTCTACTTCTTTACGCATAGTTTCCTTTAGTCCTTTGAACAAATTTACGATGACTGCTTGGAAGACTTTGTCTGTTAACTCTGACATCTGGGCCCTTCCCAGGGAGGTTCTGTTGCCTGCTCTTTTTTCTCTTTGAATTGTACTTTCCTGGTTCTTGGCATAATTGCTTGGAATTTTTGATGAAAACTGAACATTAAATACTATATTGCAGTAACTCTAGCTACTGCTCCCCTCCCCTCCAAGGGCCTGTCATCATTGTTTGCGTGTTGATTTGTTGAGTACCTTGGCTGGACTGCTCCAGGGAAGCCTTGACCCCCACGTGTAAAGTCTGCTGTCGTTCCTGTGAGGGCACTGTGCCCTGGGAGCCAGCGGAGCTCTGTGACGGTCACTTTCTGTGGCGGCTCTAAGTTGTTGCCTCTCTTGCTGCCACACCCACCCAGCTGTTGGCTCCCCTCATTGCAGGATGATTGCTGTCTCATTTTCGACAATTTATAATCAGTGTGCTCTGCAGTCTGGTCTCATCCTATTTGGGCCGCTTTGCAGAAGTCATTTCGAGGCCAGTCTTTGAGTCTCTTCTGATGCCAGGGGAGCCCTCCTTAGCTGTCTTTTCTCCCTGATCCTCTCTGGTAAACTTCCAGCTGGCCTGTGGTTTAGCCTGGTGCTCTCATGAAGCTGCCAGCTTCCTCTTAGTTGCTTACCTCCAAAACCTTCATAGCTTTCAAGAGCATCCTTAGGCTTGAATTCCCCACATTCTTTTTAAAGTAATGTCAGTTCTTGTTGATATGTCTCTAAGTCTCTTTTAATTTATAGGTCTCCACCCCCATCCTCTTTTATTATGATCATCTGTTGAAGAACCTGGTTAGTTGTCCTGTGGAGTGTCTCTCTGCATTGTCTACTAACATGTCCTTTGCTCGTCTGGTAAATCCCACCTGACCTGGAGTCATGAGCAGATTCAGATCCTGTTGGTTTGGTTGCTTTGGACCAGACTCTTGCTAGCAGGAAGCACGGGGTGTCCGACTTGTCTGCTGTGTGGTGATGTCAGTAGCCACTGATGACCACCTAGGGCCACTAATTCTCTAGAGGTTACAAATAGTGATGTTCTAATTCTGTAAGTCCTTTTTTTTCTTTCACTAATGAGCCAAAAGAATTCAGTAAAGAGAATCCTCCCCCATCTGCTTTTTGGTTACCCAGCATATTACCATTTATAAGAGAGAGAGGAGGCCAATGATGGCTGCTTCTTCCCAGTTAATTCCCAGCTTCAAATCACTGAATTAGTTCACTGAGTTCACTAGCATATGCTTCAACTGTGACCAATTAGTTTTTATTTTTATTTTTGGGACATTCTGAACCCATGGATTTAAGCTTATTTTATTTGTTTCCATTCACTATAGATACTATTTAATATTATCTGATATTCCGTTTGTCCCATCTTTGGGAACTGGGAACATCTTCAGATGGTCCCAGAGGCCTTAGTATCTCTGAGGGCTCTGTTGCTGTCTAGTCCGAGAAGGTGTCCCAGCCGCTTGTGCACAAGCCCTTCCCTGGACCTGAAATCAGCGGCTTCTCCAAGATGCCCTGGTTCCTTTCAGTGGAAAGGGGTCTTTGAGGACCACCGTCTCACAGCTAGCAGTGCTTATGCATACTGGCTTACTCATTTCTGTACAAAGTGAGGAAATCTCTTTAAAATAAAATTGATCTTGAGTTCGTATTGATAACTTGCCCTTCACTTCACTGCTGTAAAATTACCTCCTGAGATCTTTCACCTGTGCTGTCTTCCGCCCAAGCTTAGAATCCCGGTTGTCAGTACCCTCGGATCTGACAGAGTATCGTGTGAGGCCCTCAGTAGTCTCAGCACAAGACCAGCACCATCACTAATATCAGAGCAAAAGCAATTTAAGGTGGGGTTTTTGTTTTGGGTTTTGTTTTGTTTCAGATCAAAGCACCTAATGTAAGAAAATTCTAGAAGAAAACAAATAATAATGTTGGGTGGAAATGTTCTTCTGAGTGAACCCAGAAGCCATCAGTAAATGGTTGGTCAAGAAAAGATGAATACCTCTCATCAAATTAAAAAGAAAAATTGAATACAACCAGAAATTGCCACAATCAAAGTAAAACCTTTATAAACTCACACTAGAGTGTCTAAGAGACTTGCACCAGCACTGCCTGTCCCGGGTAGACTCTCCTGGTGACCCCCCAGCCCCCAAGACCTGCATTGTAGCTTCTGAGGCCTGTGGGCCAGATGCTCTCTTTACAGATGACAAAATTCTGAGTTTCTTGTCCAAAGCCTCCCACTGGATGCTGGCACAGCAGGAGCCTGAGCCCAGTGTCCTGACGTCACACCCGTTCTCATGGCAGGAATTCGGAGGCTGGCCAGCCAGTGCTGGGCCTTGGACTTGTTGGTAGGTGGTGTCTCGCTTGTCAGAGTTGGTTATGAAACTTGGCCCGGCTGGACCCAGCCTTGTTCTGCTCTCCCCAGTAGAGGCACCTGCTGCTGCTCAGGATGCACGGAGAAGTCTGCATCAGCTTCCCTGTGGGGCTGCGTGGACTGCTCTGACTGCAGCGGGGCAGGGCCGCCAGAGATCCACCCTCACCCTCG